ATGGTGGGCAGAGCAAAGATAGCCCATTGTGTAGCTTTGTGCTTAATTACAAACAAACAAATCTTTGTTTTTTAACGTCATTAAATACAAGGGATATACCACTCTTTGAAATTCCAAATCCCCGATCTTTTTGCGTCGAAAAGGGTTTTTACATGTCCTTCCCTTATTTTGGTGGCATCACAGTACCTACGACCCCACAATGTTAAAATGTAGTTCTGATACATGTCGTTCCATCGCGACTTTATATAACGGATGTGGCTGTCACGTCACTGAATTGCATATTAAAACCGTTTTAAAATAATGTACTTAACCCTCTCTATAACCCAGCATATTATGTTTAATGTCACATCCAAAATATTTATTTCAAGCTTTACTTTTAAAAGATCTTTCAAAAACGGGTAAAATTTTTAATAAATCCTCTTGACTTAACATTAGGCTTAAACACACTTATTTTATCACTGCTCTCATAACATTAGGCCTAAACATACTTATTTATCACTACTAACTTAACATTAGGCCTAAACACACATATTTTATCACTAATAACTTAACCTGAAAGTTGTTTAGGTTAAAAATATATAGACAGACAGACGCATGTCCTTTACCACCTAGTAAGAAATCATAAGAAAGAACTGTTTATCATTCATTGAGTTTTCCAATACAACGAAACGTTGTAAATATTAACTTTAAATATAATGAGAATATTTTCTTCTTGTGTAGTTTATGAATGAAAATATGTATGCCTTTATATAACGTTTATATTTTGATCTACCCAATAGAGGGCTCTGATGCTTTCCAGTTGGAGGGAGTGCGATAACATCAGTACTTTTAAAAGTCTGTGAACGATTATGGAAACACAAACAAAACATTAAACCATAAACTATATAAGTAACACATCTCGATGTGCAAGTAAATTGTTAGGATGGTGTAAAGAAAGAAAAAGTTACTTTAATAGTTCCACGTTGAGTTTATTTACTGATTATAAGTAATATAAGTTACAGTTTTTACAGTAAGAAATAATATTTTTAAAACAGGTTCGACGTTTCGATCAACTACACCAAGTACTTGAGAATAATTGCACCAGTGTTCGAAACGTCGTACCTGTTTTAAAAAATAGTCTTCCTTGCTGTAAAAGCTATAACTCGTAATAAAAGGCTATTTTAATCCTGATACTGGATAACAGAACTTTCTTTGTCATTTCAACACAGTCGGTGAGATAAAACTGTAGAATTGTTTTTTCAAGATTATCAGTCAATTTTGTTCTTCGTACAGAAAACGTGATAATATTTTTTGAAGTGTCGTCTAAAGCTGAAATAAAACAAACGTGTCTGTGTGTCTAATTAAGATTAGTGAATTTTAATTTTATCATAAAATAATCCTATTATTGAGATAATTAATAATAACATTCGAACAAGAACAAATGGCAAAATC